TTGATTCTGGTCAAGGTCTAGCTTTGAATGTGCATTGAATTTTTTTCATATGTACTTCTATAACTTTTCCTCAATTATTTCTCTGTTTCGATGTTATCATCTAACCCATGATCAAGTTTAGGTATATCATATTTCTACACTATTGCTCGCACTCTCTGTAAGAAATTAATCATTTTTAATGCACAGAAAAGTTAATTGTTAGATGAACGGTCTTGTATCCATCTAAAATCGTCTAACATGTCTTTACAAGATGTTTAACAACCTTCTAACACCGGGTGGATTATAATGCACTAATATAGTAGTTAATAGCATTTTAAAATCGAGGACTACCTCACCAAAGCATTTTAAAATGTTGTTATCTAAGTTTAGCAACATTTCTTTTGTAAGTTATTTGAATATTTTGAAACTTTCTTCTATTAATAGTAAGTAAGTCTTTAAATTAAGATGGACCTTATGGCTCATTGCTAATAGGTTAAATTAAAAAATAAATAATATTTTTGGAGTATAAATATTTAATTTGCAAAATAAATTCTATCGCTGGTAGTTCAACCAAATCGAGATATTTCTTTTTGTTTCGCTCATGTCTTCAGCTCCGAGCATATCGATAAACTCATTGAGCACGATTTGATCTATGTTGTGTTATGTCACAATAATTTGTCAATCTTTCCTTATTCAGTAGTACAGTAAATACCGATATTACGTCAAAATTATATATATTTTGTTTAATAAGCAACATAATAAAGTTTATTGTTTAACTTAAATGTTTTACATGATTGTCGATCAATTCAAGTTTTTAAGGTGTTATGACTATATAATGAAAAACTAATATTGAATACTTCAATCTTTCTAAACGGTCTTTGATTAATCTAAGAAAAGGATTTATCATTTTGTAATTTTAATCTTTCCTTAATATCAATTAATTTTTGATAGTTTTAAATAACTAAAAAAATTCTGAGTAGTTGGTACATGTCGTTTTTCCGTTCATTCATTTTTATTCTCTTCTCTGTGATGTTCTTACTAAATCTCATATTCTTTTGATAAATTCACTGATTATTATCTAAACATCTCTGGACACTACAATACCCAAAAAGCAAATTATATCTTGGGGAGAGTTTACTTCTAATATTTTTTCCCAATTATTACAAGAAAAAAAAGAAAAAATAAAATTAGTCTTTTAAATCTAACACAACAACAAGGATGTTTTGCAGTTTCCATGTGAGTATTGTTGCATGTTGATCTAGGAAAAGTTGAGTATTTTTTTTGAATGTCACAATTGTACGAAAATAACAATTTTTTAGTTGATATTTTTTCCCAAAAGCTTTAGTTAATTATTAGTTGAATTAAAAGTCTTGACTATTGAGTAACATCTTAAATATTATTCAAGATGGAATTGCATTTTTAGTGAAATAATTCTCTATTACAAATCCTTAAGAACTCTATTATTAGTTAACTATAAAGATTTAAATATTATAATGATATATATTTCAACAATTTAGTTAATTAT